TTGTTGAAATATGTAAGAAGTTTATTAAGTGGTATTTGCTTGTATTAGTTTTTGGTTACTAGACATTTTATGTTTGGGAATTTTTATTAGCAGGAATAGCATTCTGCGCCTAGATCTTCAAATAATCCTTGCTTATAAATAGAACACCTGAATCACCTATGTTTTGAGGAACTTTGTATTAGGAGATAAAGGATCATTTTGAGAATTAATACCTTAGCTTTTGCTACTGATTATGGAAGAATAAGGGAGGACCTCTTTTCTTCCCCCAAACATTCATTCAGTAGATAGTTCCTCTTGTACATGTACCGGTATGTGCGGAGTTGTTCCTGATGTTCTTTTTTCTGGTATAGGCCAGAGGTGTGTGGAGGGGGTGTGTGTGAGAGGATTCGCCAGACAGAGTGGGGAACAGAACAGGCAGACTGACTGAAACACACTGCTGAGGGGAGTAGTGGGCAAGACAGGAGAGGTCTGCTCCGCCATGTGGGTTGCTCTCTGGCGGGCTGGGGATTGAACCCACGCCACGGACAGCTTCATAGATTGTGTCTTAACCCCTGCATCACCAGGGAGGCCCGAGCTTGTTACTCTTAACCCATCTCTTGTATCCTTTTTTCCCCAAGAATTGGTTGAAAGAAATATAAATAACTGAGATGTGATCTTTTTCTGTTTTGGTCAGTTCTTCTATAAATGCATTTTACTTGGATGGAGCTACTAGTAGTGAGTGGATGAGACTTGTAATAACTGTAATAAGTGGTGGAAGCTGCCTCTCAAAGCCAGCACTTTCCTTTCTTTAGTATCCCAATTCCATGTTGTTCATAGTAGGATCCTCTTGGTGTCTGTAGTATAGAAATTTAAAATTATTTAGATTAATGATAGTTATCCCACAGATATAAAGCTGCCAGAGAGGCTGAGCAAGTGCAGATCATGGTGAAAGGAAAGAAAATAAGGCAGAAACAAATCAGGAGGCACCTTGGAGAAAATATTGACAAATTTTGATAAGTACAGTTAGGTTTATATCTTACTAGGAAGAAATTGAAGAGTTTAGGCATGGTCCATGGGTAGAGTTTGGGAGTGGGCCTAGAGAAGTATGCAGACTATTTTGAAGAGTTAGTTGATAGAGTTAGGCTTAACAGTTTTGTATAAGATTTAGTCCTAACCTTATTTTCCTCAGTCAAAGTATATGGCAGATTAGGAAAGTGTGGCAATTATGATTACATAACCAAAAGACTACCACGTTAATAGAAAAAAGGACAAAACATGTAAATAGGCAGTTCACAGACAAAGATAGAGGAGTGGCTAAGTAATGCCAAAGTAACTACATGCATGAAAATGATGCACAGTCTGTCAGAGAAATTAAGTAGAATGTAGTTGACTCTAGCTCCATGATGTCAAGGACCATTTATGTATCATTCCCATTTTATCCCTAGCTTCTAGTACATTGCCTAACAATATTAGTTAGGCTCATATATTTGTTGAATAAATAAAATAAAATAAATAAATAAAATAAATTGGAATTTTGAAAAAAAAAATCTCTTAGATTGATAATACAATTTTAAAAGACTTTCGAACTCCCTCTTAGGGATTGAACACCCTAAGTTCAAAGGCAGTCTCATCCTATGGATGAGGAGATGTGATCTTTTTGGAAAAGAATTTTAGTGTGGGTGGCCTACGGGTTAAGTCTCAGCGCTACCACCAAGACAGCCTAAGTTAGATCCGGGCCAGGGAGCTAGCCTACATGGCGCAGACCTCTCCTGTCTTACCTACTGCTCCCCTCAGCAGTGTATTTCAGTAGATCTGCCTGTTCTGCTCCCTCTTCTGTCTTTGGTGAATCCTCTCACCCACTGCACCTTTGGCCTGCACCCCAGTTCTTCTATGTAATATATAAATATCAAAAAATAAACAAATAGGGCCTCCCCGGTAGCGCAGTGGTTGAGCGCTGGGTTGCGAAGCTGCCGGCGACCTCTGCGGCGCCGGTTCCATCCCCGGCTGCTCCCCGGCCACCTGGGGAGGGTCCCACATGGCACGCAGACCTCTCCTGCCGCCCGCTGCTCCCCTCAGCAGTGTACTTCGGTCCTTCTGCCTGCTCTGCTCCCCGCTCTGGCTCTGGTGAATTCTCTCGCCCCCCCCCCCCCCCCCCCCCCCCGCGCTTCTGACTGTACCCAGTGCATGTATAAACAAAACAAACAAACAAACAAATAAATACATAAAACATGCCTCTATTAAAAAAAAAACATTAAAAAAAAATAAACATTTAAATTGCATTGAGAGAATCAGAGTCTCATACCCACATAGCTCCAAAGGCCTCTCGTGAGTCCACCTTGTAGAGCCACTCCTCTTTATACAACACAGGGTCTCCTGCAAATCTCTCCCTTATTTAACCAAGTAAGTTAACTTCTCTTATTTTCCTGGAAGAAGAGTTCTTTTTATGGTAAGCAAAGGTGTGTTCTGAGAATGAATAATCCCATGCCCTCAAAATTTTCACTCAGTGGTTTTATCGATAGTTTCCATTGATGAATCTTGCCTTGACTATTATTTTAGTGGCTATAAAAAGGTAATTTCATACTTCTTTGCTTCTTCTATATTTATTATTGACATTTTGTAAAGAAGGACATTTGCCCACCTGCATCATTTCTCTTTTTTATTCTTTGTTATTATTACCATAACCGAGGGATTATTTTTTTTTTAATTCCCTTGTTTATGTTCCATGTTAGTCTTTGTTCATTGTAATGCACTTTCTTATGCCCTTTGATACGGCTCTATTTTTTAAAAGAATTTTCTTACTGATAAAACATATTTTAGATTCACTTTGTACTTTTGCTGCTGCTACCTTGGGATTAGTAGCTATTTCTTCCAAAGCCCTATTTCATTTTAATGGGGAATAATAATAGAAATCAAAATTTGGTTGCTGAGGGTGCTTATTTCTATTGGGGTGTTAATTCTAACTTTTTTCAGTAGACAGAACTAGACATACATCATACATGCACAAACACATACATACATACATGCATCTGTATATACACACATACATATACACACATTATATATTATATGTAGCTCCTGTATATGAGTTCCTAATAATACTACTAATTTTCAACCTCCACAGGTTTTTTTCCCTCCTTTTTTTTGACATCTTTTTCTCCATATTCCAATATCTGTGTTTAACTTTTCTCATGGTGAGACCCTTGGTTCCCCCCAAAATCTTAGTATATTTGCTCATTTGCTTAATATTGTAGCAATGAAACTGTTTCCGTACCATTACTACTACCAGCAACAGTCCTATTAGTAAACTTAAAGATATCTTTGCATTTTTTTGTCCATTGGATGTTTATAATTGTTCATAATATAAGTTAACATAAGTACTTGAGAGATACTTAAAATAATTTACCTTAAATAATTACAAATTTTGATGGAGAACCCTCCTTTATTTTTCTTTTTAAAATACCTAATAGTCCATAGCTTTTGTTGTGATTAGCAGTTTGCTAATCTTAGCCAAGTTTCAGTACTATAGCTGCAAATATCCTGAGGGAAATGCTATCAAATAGTTTTGTCAGTGAAGATATATTTCAGATGGACTTATTTAAATTTCATATTAATTTTAATGGTGTGCAGATTGCTAGAATTTCTCCTCTAAGGGCAACCTTTATTTTAGATAAACATACTGATTTCAAAGACACAGGAGGAAAGAAATGAAACTGATAAATTAGATGTGAGAATAAGTCAGATCTGAAAGAAATTAGAGATTATGAGCTATAACTGGGAGTATTAGTTCATAGAAGTAATCAGTCTAGTCCTGAATACTCAATGGTGATTTTCATTGTTTAAAAAAAGAAAACAAAGTTTTTGTTATTGGATTATAGCAGGAATTTTACTGTGGGAACCATCTTTTTGCAAAAAATGTACAACTTTCTTGCATGCTTATTTTAGTGCAGTAAAATACATAAAGTTGAATCACAGTTTAAAGAAGGGATTTTCTTATCTTTCAGTAATTGAATTTAGAAAATTCAAGAAAATTGATAGTTAACATGCCCCTTAGATTCTAAGAGGTCTGTCTGGAACTTGACTGTTAGTGCCAAATTATTAGTTGGTTTAAGTATGCTGAAGAAGAATATATGTTCTTTGGTTTAATCTCTGAATATTTAAATGTAGATGTTTTATGGCATTTATTAAAAAGCAATTACAGTATTTTTTGTGGTTTGGTATGATGCTAAGCACCAGGGAGACCGAAGAAAGCACACAGTGTATTTCCATAGCTCAAAATAGCTTGTATTCTTGTCTAAGTTTATTAGAAAGTTTTACAAATAAGAGACAACTTGAATACACATTGAGGATATTTAAAGTATTTTTCAAAACCTTATATTGTTTCATTTTCATGATACTAAATTGTACAAATCAAGAAGCTTTGTCTTTGAATGTTTATTTGCATTGTTTCATTTATAAAAGTCCTCAAGAGTATATTGGTTTTGCTCTCTATTCTAATTTACAATTATTGTTGCCTCTGATCTTGAATGACTGTAATTTTCTGATTAATTTGATTTATGAATCACAAGATTAGAAATGCTCCCCAAGTATTACCTACTTTATTACCTAATTTTTCTCTCCAACCTCAACAATCTTTTTTTTAAAAAAAAAAAAAAAAACACAAAAAAAAACAAAGCCAGGACATACAGTTTAACCTATCTCCAGGGAAGAATGTTTTACAGAGCCCCTGGTAATCCAGTGTCCCAGGTTTTGAAAACCCTTTCTTTTAACAAGAATTCCTGCTGCTATAAATGAACTATTTTACTTAGTTTGCTCTTAGTGAAAATATACTGTCACAAGTATAGAAATTGCACCCTCATTTTTCCCTCTACCCCAAAAACCTTTTTCTTTTTTTCAATACAGTTTCAACTACTATACTAACACAAGTTAATTTTAGATTCTATTGCTGAAAACCTCACTTTTGCCATTTATTGAGGTGTTAATTGAACTATTAATGTATTTAGAGCAGAAATGTCGTTTTTTAGGGAATCTAGAGCAACAGCAAAGCTGAGGTCAAACTGCCATAAGGATGGACACCAAGGAAGCTGTGTTTGGGACAAAAAGAAATCAAGATAAGGTAGATGCACAGTAGAGAAAAGCACTGGACCCTGGGGGGCGGGGTGGTAGGTGGGAGTGGGTTGTATGCCTCTGATAGCAAAGAATAGGTAGATTTCTGAAGAGGAAGCCAAGAAAGGCTTATAGGAAGTATTAAAGATTTGGGTTTAAGTACTACATTCCTTCTGAATATATAAGTTTTAGCTGACTTTTAGCTAGTTGAGTGCTTTAAAAATTGATAAGGTTAAGTGCTGAAATGGGGTGGATCCTAATATTCTGGGATAGTGTTGGATAGTTGGATAGTCTGTCTGGATAGTTGTGGAGGACACTGTTGTTATTAGTTGATAAAACCTTTACCAAAACCCAATTTCAATCCTAATGCCTGTTACTATTTGAAAGTCAAAAGGGACTCTATGATTGAAAGAGTAAACTGGCAAAATCAGTACAGAAAATTTAATTTTTCCTTTTCTTTTTGTAATGTAAAGATTGTGTTTCTCTTGATAGCAACATGAACCGTGAAGACCGGAATGTGCTGCGTATGAAAGAACGGGAAAGGCGGAATCAGGAAATTCAGCAGGGTGAAGACGCCTTCCCACCTAGCTCTCCTCTCTTTGCTGAGCCTTACAAAGTTGTAAGTTGTCCTTTGAATGTTCTTTCCCAATAATGTGACATTTTTGTTTTTAAAATATTTAAACTTGAATTTTTATATTAGAAAAGAGTTATTTGTACACTAAGTTTCAGTGAGTGTTTATGTTTGAATAAATGTCTTTAGTATTAGTCTAGTTCTTTTTCTGTTGCACTAAATTCTCTGATTTTCCTTTTAATGTATTTAATGTTTAATTAATAGTATCAGATTTCAATTAAAGCATGTATTCAATAAATTGAACCAATTGCTATTTTTGAAACTCCCATTCTGCTTGGAGTAACAAAACACTGAATGGAACCATCCTAATGATTAATGTTTCTATAGTGGCCACAGACATCTCCGTTATACTTGATTTGACTTGGGATTTCATTTGAACTGTCCTTAGATTTTACAGATTTATACTGTATATAGTGCTGTGTATTATAGCAGTAATCACCATTGTTGGTGATACAGCAATAATCACCATTTTATAGTATGAGATTGAGTGTGTGTAAAGCTTAAAAACATGTCCTAGGTTTACCTTTATAAGATTTGGTGTTTGTAGAAACTATTTGAGAGGTCTATAAATGCCATTTATTCAGAGCTTTTTCCATTTAAATTCAGTTATACTAATACCATTTATATGAGTGTAACATAAAACCTAGCATTTGGTATTAAAAGTCATGTTGAAAGTATAGGACTTTGGTCCAGAATCTTCAAATCATACTACAACTTGTTTGTATATTGTAATTGGATTTGATGCTGCCCATAAATTGCTGAATATTTACTTCTCTTCTTTAATAAGGACCAGAATGATTTTCAGAAAATTTACAGTCATTATTGATTCATGGCAATTCAGAATAAATGTTGTTTTAATGTAATCAGTAAACATGCTTTCTTCCATGTATATAAATACGAAAGTCCTAAAGTTTGCCAGTATCTTAGACTTGTTTGTTATCTAAGAATAATTCTTAAAAAGTATGTATATTGTTGACCTCAAGAGTTGGAGCATTTATTGGTCAGAATTAATAGCTAGAATTTTAAACTTTATCAGTTGATTCCCTGTACTATTGTGGTTGTTACTTTTTTTTTTTTTTTTTTTTTTTATAGAGGCATGTTTTATTTATTTATTTATTTATTTGTTTGTTTGTTCATTTGTTTTGTTTATACATGCACTGGGTACAGTCAGAAGCGCGGGAGGGTGAGAGAATTCACCAGAGCCAGAGCGGGGAGCAGAACAGGCAGAAGGACCGAAGTACACTGCTGAGGGGAGCAGCGGGTGGCAGGAGAGGTCTGCGCACCATGTGGGACCCTCCTCCGGTGGCCGGGGAGCAGCCGGGAATCAAACCGGCGCCGCAGAGGCTGCGGGCAGCTTCGCAACCCAGCGCTCTACCGCTGCGCCACCGGGGAGGCCCCTGTGGTTGTTACTTTTATTAACTCACAGGTAGAGAAGGAATTAAAATTTTTTAACAGTCAGTTGGGCATAACTTACTTCACTAAATTTCTGTTTCTACCTCTGATTGCATTATAAGGAATATGTGTTTCCTAGACTGCCAAAATATGAGTTATAGCTAATCTGCTGACCTAGAATTTATATAAATGCAGATTACTTTTCCTGCTCTTCAAAAAGTTTTTATTGCTGTTTGGTAATTTTATTGGTGCAATTTGGATTGTTTTCCCCTCCAGCAATCTATTGTATTTATTTCTCAATGTCCTGTAGAATATTTGCGTTTCAGTATGTGTCGTCTTCTTTTTTCACTGCATGTTTTTTTTACTATAAAATTTATGTATTTATAAATATATAAAGTTTGTTTTGAGATGCTAACCTTAAGATATGAGATGAAACATACCTTTGAAAAATCCCTTTTTTTTTTGAAGTTTGAGAAGTTAGTTTAGAATCATTTTTATCTCCAGTTATGCTATTGGTATAATTTTATTTTACTTTTTCTGGTAGACTAGCAAAGAAGATAAGCTATCAAGTCGTATTCAGAGTATGCTTGGAAACTACGATGAAATGAAGGATTTCATAGGAGACAGATCTATACCAAAGCTTGTTGCAATTCCCAAGCCTACAGTACCACCGACAGCAGATGAAAAATCGAACCCAAATTTCTTTGAACAGAGACATGGGAGCTCTCATCAGAGTAGTAAATGGACTCCAGTAGGACCTGCACCCAGCACTTCTCAGTCTCAGAAACGGTCCTCGGGCTTACAGAGTGGACATAGTAGCCAACGGACCAGTGCAGGTGGCAGTGGTGGCACCAATAGTAGTGGTCAGAGGCATGACCGTGACTCATACAGCAGTAGTGGCAGCAGTAGCCGGAAAAAAGGCCAGCATGGATCAGAACACTCCAAATCACGTTCTTCCAGTCCTGGAAAACCCCAGGCTGTTTCTTCGTTAAGCTCCAGTCATTCCAGATCTCATGGGAATGATCACCACAGTAAGGAACATCAGCGTTCCAAATCTCCTCGGGACCCTGATGCAAACTGGGATTCTCCTTCCCGTGTACCTTTTTCAAGTGGGCAGCACTCAACTCAGTCTTTCCCACCTTCATTGATGTCAAAGTCGAGTTCAATGTTACAGAAACCCACTGCCTATGTGCGGCCCATGGACGGACAGGAGTCTATGGAACCAAAGCTGTCCTCTGAGCACTACAGTAGTCAGTCCCATGGCGGCAGCATGACTGAACTGAAACCCGGCAGCAAAGCACATCTCACCAAGCTGAAGATCCCTTCCCAACCACTGGATGTAAGTCATGCATTTGCAGATTTTAATATTGTGACTGTGAAGCAATTTACCATGAAAGTGTGATTGAACTTAATTAAACTGTCTTTGTCTTAAAGAATGTAAGGAATAGAAAAATTTAAAGAAAGACTTATGATTGTCTCCCAAGTGGTTCCTTACACTTGTTTGGTTCCCCTCTTGGGTGTTAAGGAAAATGTCATTCACTGTTCTTAAAATATTAAAATGATAGGTCAATTATGGAATAAAACATTTATCAGTTCTTTAGATTTCTTCCTTTTTGCTGAATAATACATCTTGTTTTATTTAAAAAAAAAATCAACTTTTATTCTTTTAGTGATACTCATGAAAGAGATGTGGCCTTTGATTCATTGGGATAAATGTTGGAACTTTTTCACTGCATGGAGATGGTGATGTTGTATGGTTTAGATGCCATGTTCTTTTTCTCTGTTTATACTCAATGTTTGAGGTAGCTGCTCTGGTTCATATTAGTGGCTTGAAATTTATTACAGTATTTATATCTGTCTGCTAAACATGATATTCAGAATAACCAAAGAAGTGAGTGTTTATTGTGACATGATGGTGGGAAGGAGTAAGAAAAATGATGAAAATACTATTTTGAGAATATTTAGAAATCTTTCTTGTGGACTTGGGAAACTCATTGTTCCTGGTATTTGTCATCTAATTACTCTTCTCAAGAGAACAGTAAGGTGGTAATTTGTTCTTTCTTCAAACAACAAGATCCTTAGAGGTAGGCTTGAATTCAGACTCCAGCTTTCTAATTCCTATTGTGCCTTACAATAAACAACTGCCATGATTTAAGAAAGATGATATAAAATGTTCCAGGCAAGTAATCTTTCCAGAATACTAGGTTAATTCTGTCTGTAACTTGTTGTGAAATGATATATCTCTGTATTGTGGTATTTTTTTAAAATATTTATTTATTTATTTATACAAGCACTGGGTACAGTCAGAAGCGCGGGAGGGTGACAGAATTCACCAGAGCCAGAGCGGGGAACAGAGCAGGCAGATTGACGAAATACACTGCTGAGGGGAGCAACAGGTGCGGCAGGAGAGGTCTGCACACCATGTGGGACCCTCGCCGGTGGCCTGGGATCAAACCAGCACTGCAGAAGCTGTGGGCAGCTTTGCAGCCCAGCGCTCAACCGCTGTGCCACCAGGGGAGGCCCTGTGGTATATTTTATATATAAGTAAACCTTAACATTTTTGACAGGCTGCTCAAATGAGAAATTTTACTTAAAAATTATTCTAATTTAAGTGTAAGAATAATAAAGTTTTTAAATCTTTAGTTGGAAAGTTTGGTGATTAAATGTTTTTGAAACATTTGAAGAATTTGTATTTAAGGAAATTAGTTTAAAAATTCTAATTGTTTTAGAGAGGGTGTGATCATAAATACTACTTTAAATTTTTTTCATATCTAGTAATGTCAATTCTGTATGGCAGATGATTAAAATTTAATCAGAAGCTACTCCAAATCTAATGTGTTTCTTTTCCTCTTTCTCTTAAGGCATCTGCTTCTGGTGATGTGAGCTGTGTAGATGAAATTCTTAAAGTAAGTTTACTTTTTAATTGTTACAGTCTCTTACGTAACTATATGATCTGCTACCTATTTAGCCTCTTGCCATCTCTATTTCATAAAGGCTCTGAAGCAGCAGATTGCTTAACAATTGTAACTTGATTATGTCCATCAAAAGTAGTTGACTCTTCAGCACTTATATTCTTACTTAGGTTCTGAATCACTTGTTTGTTACTATTTGTCCTCAAAGAGCTGTTTTTTTATGTTTGCTTGTTTTTTGTTTTTAAGTAAAACAAAAACTTATAACCGTTTGCCTTAAAAGAGGAAGAAACCAATTAAAATTATACTTTTTTTGGTTTATCAATTACTATTTTAAAATACTAAAAAACTTGAAAGTTGTAAGTCAGTCCTTTACAATGAAAACAACTTGCTACAAAAATAAATACATCAGTACATTCTGCTACAATCTTATGATGAAAGATGTCTGAATACTTCACATTTTGAATGTTTAATGGAATATGTTTAAAACCAACATATGAACAAAAAGCACATTCCTCTATTGGAAAAAGAAACAGTTGTCTGTTGGAAAAAGAGACTACAGTGAATTAATGAGTGACAGTGACTGCTTTTGACTAATTACAGAAAAACCGTTAGTCACATATTATTGTACTTATTTGTATGCTTCCAAGTTTTGTATCTATACTTACATTTCACTCCAGATACTCTTGGAAGACTACTTGCATTGGCTGCTTCCTTGTCCATTCTCTTCCATTCCTTCTTTGAGCCTAGTACATCTTTTTACCTCCATCACTCTGCTGAACCTGTTTTGCTAATGTTTTGAAGATCTTCTTCATCTGGAGGCTTCCTTTGAGTTCTCCTTTCTTTTTTAAAGGATTTTTGTTTTTCACTTCCAGAAGCAACATCCTTCCTTCCTTGACTATTACACTTCATTGTTTTAATTTCTCATCTGTCTTTTTTATCTCTCCTCTGACTTTTGAGAACCTTTGTGTCTTCTCTTACCTCTTTACTCTGAAAGCATTTCCTATATGCTCCTCTTTTCTTTCTGCTTCTTAACTTGCCTTTTCCTTCATTCTCACATCTTTGTCACTGTTAGATACTCTTTAGTCTTTCCTGCCCTGTTCCCCTTTGGGTTTTGGTTTATCTTTGGTTTATCTTTCTCAGTTGCTTCTTTATTGGGTCTCTGGATTTCTCCATTCTTCACACTCAGCATGCCTAATGTCATAGTTACCAGACTTGCTTCTCTTAGTAGTACCACCGTTCTTTTGTGCTTATAAGTGTAGAATACTAATTCACTTCTTTCTCCTGTGGTCCAGTTAATCATAAAACTACACGTACACTTAGAAAATTTTCCGTTATTTCCTTTTTTACCACCTTAAACTTTAGTGACTGTGGGCCTCCCCGGTGGCGCAGCGGTTGAGTGCTGGGTTGCGAAGCTGCCCGCGGCCTCTGCGGCGCCGGTTCGATCCCCAGCCACCGGAGGAGGGTCCCACATGGCGCGCAGACCTCTCCTGCCGCCCGCTGCTCCCCTCAGCAGTGTAACTCGGTCCCTCTGCCTGCTCTGCTCCCCGCTCTGGCTCTGGTGAATTCTCTCACCCTCCCTTGCTTCTGACTGTACCCAGTGCATGTATAAACAAACAAACAAACAAATAAATAAATAAAAATAAAAACATGCCTCTATAAAAAAAAAAAAAAAACTTTAGTGACTGTAATATACAGTCCTCATTGAGCCTGTCTGCCTCTGGAGTCTCCCCATTCTTCTGCTTTCTGTATTGCTGCCAGATTCTATGCTTCTGTCCCTTGTTTTCATAAGTTAATTTCCTTTTTAGAAATTTTCAGTGACTCTCTAAGGTCCATAGAAAGAATAATATCTACATTTTATATTTCAGACCTATCACAGCCCGTCCTTACCTCTCCTGTTAGCAATTGATCACTTTTGGTGAACTGATTTCCCTAAGCATATGCTTTATTGCTCTTTTACCCTCTTTAAAGTACCTTTTGTAGACTCTGTTTTGCCTTCCTCTTTAGTTATATATAGATTATTTTTTTCTTAGTACATCAGATATTCCTTATCAAACCATCAAACTACAGTAGTAACTTTCCTTTGAATTTGCATACAGCATTCATTTTCCAGTTACCATGTATATAAAAAGTGTTAAGGGAGCATATATCTTTCCCCTGAATCCACAAAAATGCATGGCACTTTAACATCTGGGGAAAAAAATCATAGATTTTTCATATATTTAATTATCTCTTTGATGTTACATTTATTGTACATTTTATGTATACAGGGTGTGGCACATGGCCATGGGAGTAATTGGTGCTCAATCATTTGATGGAGAATTAAATAGATTTTCTGTTAAGAGTATTTTCACATTTGAGGTAAAAGTATCACCTTGCTGAAAACCTTTCTGAAAATATTTCAAGAAATGAAATAAGTTTCTCTTTCCTTCCCCCTTCCCTCTGTGCAGTGCACAAGGGAACTTCAGGTCTGCATTCCTGTCATGTTTTCCAGATATTTGTAGTCATATTGTCTTGTAAGAATTCCATCACAGACTTAAAGGAAAAAAAATTAATCTGAAAGCAATATGTTTATTTGTTAACTCAAGGTATAATAACTGAGCACCTTCTGTGTATCAAAAACTGGGGATATGGTGGCGATAATGTTTGTTGTACTCTTTGAACTGACATTTTAGTGCAGGATGTAGGAAATAATCAACTTAGAGCATTTCAGGAAGTAAAATGTTACTTAAAAATAAAACATAAGCTGATAAAGAATAGTCATGGTTCAGGTGGCTGTTTTAAGGGGTTCAAGGAATAGAGACTGTCTTAGGTGCCTTCTTTATCTTCCCCCTCTGTCATTCTGTTGTCCAAAGGTAGCCACTGTTAATTATCTTCCAGAGATTTTTTTCATATAAACATTTGCTAGGTCATAGACTATGATTTTGTTGTCATTTAACAATTTACTTTGGACATCATTTCATACCAGGAATTTCTCATATCACTGTCTGCTTGGTGTTCCATTGTGTGGCTGTAATTTAATTACTCCTATGTTATTGGACACATAGGTTGTTGCCATTTTTTAAGTGTGAGCTCCCCTTGAACATGTATCTGTATAACTATAGGGTAAATTCCTAAGAGTTATACCACCTTTAATTTTTTAAAAATATTTTCTCCATGGACCTGATAGTTTTCTTTGAACTAAATGCGAAAAATAAAATAATCCCTCCTTGTTCTGAGTCTGATACCTCTTTTTCTACTGCTCCTCTAACATACATGTACATTGCGATTTTATCCAGGCCCCCACTTGGACATACTTGGCATGTGATTAGACAGAAGGCATTGAATGAAGACAGACTTGGCCTTGCTTGTCTGTCTTCCTCCTCAGGGTTTATTTATTTATTTATTTATTTGTAATATATTTCTCCTCTGATTTTTCCTCCACCTGACCAAAATGTCCTATCAGTGAATGGGCTCTGAGCTAGACTTCTTAGTGAGAAGTTGCTGTCTATTACTTACCAAGTATGTCACCTTAAAAAAGTACTTAACTTCTGTGCTTAACTCCCTACTTAGTGTTAGGATAATAATGGTGTCTACCTCATAATGTCATTGTGAGTATCAAATGAGTAATAGACATGTTAAACATAGCATAGTGTCTGGCCCATGAAAGGTACACAATAAATGTTAGCTGCTTTCCTTATTATCCCCCACCCCTCACTCCCATAGCAAGCTCTTCCTCAGTATTTTACTATGTGCCTTGTATATGATTACAGGCTGATTTCTGTAATTTTGTTGATTTTATTCACGGGTCTCAAAATCTTAACTCTAATAAGCTCCTTGAAGCCAGGAAGTCTATATTATTTATCTTCCTACTATCTGCCCCATAGTACCTTGCACTCATTTGTGCTTATTTAATATTTATTGATTTAAAACGTATGCTTTTGAAGGAGCAATCATGAAACCAGTATTTATATTATAAATCTGGTTTTTAGCTGTATAACTCTTATCCTTGACCTGGTTGAAAACAAACTGTAATAATTACATTTCAGGAGATGACGCATTCATGGCCTCCCCCTCTAACGGCTATTCATACACCATGCAAAACAGAACCTTCCAAATTTCCTTTTCCAACTAAGGTAAGTAAATAAAATATGTCTTTGATACTGTAAGAAAACTCTAAATGGCTTGACTGAAATCATATGAATTCAGAATTGTCTTGCCATTTCCGTTGTAGTGGGAGACAGACAATAAGTAATTAGACAAGTTTAGAATAGTGATAATTGCTCTGAAGAAAATAAAACAATTTAACAAAATCAAGAGCAACTTGGATTGAGAGGTACTTCAAAAAGCTTTTAAGGAAATATTGGGAAGAGACTTAAAAGGCATTGATGTTGGTTGCAAATTACTATTGTTTTCTAGGCCACAGGTGGTTAAGAGCTTCTCAAATTGTTTGAGCAGTCTCTTTACAGAACAACCATACCTGTGTCCTGTGGAAAGAAATTCCTCACACAACACTTCCAAGCTCATCTAAAATCAGCATATGTATATATATACCAATCACATTAATTTGTACTTACACAACTGAATGCATTCTCCTTAATAAAACTTTAATCAGGACCCCTAGTAATAGCCTCCCAGTTTTGCCTCCTCTGTCTCACCAGAGCTACTTTCATACTACCTTATAAGTCTTCATGTGAATTTATACTATATATATGTACTCATTACATATAAGCATTTTCTCATTTATTTCTACATAGATATATTGAGTTTTTGATCAATCAGCAATAGGGTTTAGAAACCTTCCATAATACTATGTATATTTGTAGATTATATTTCAATAATATATTACATACAGTTATTTTCTTTTAATTACATCCATAATATATGGATCTTGATTTATTTAGCTCTTTCCATTTAGTATTTAAAGTTGTGACCAAGTTTTCGCATTGCTTTAGTGACTTTCTTTATTCATGCCTTTTGTGTGCAAATAACTTTCTTTTGGGTAAAAAGTAGGAAATAGGATTGTTGATATAAATTGATATAAATTTATTGTTGAATATTAAGATATAAGCAATATATATACTCAAATTCTCTTTATAGTGCTTGTACCAATCAGTACTCCCAATATTAATTACCTATTATTGCTCGTATGCATATGTTATTTTGACATTTTAAGCACCAATCGTTTAAAAAATTTCACTCTGTTTCCTAGATTGCTAGTGAAGTTCTCACAATTGTCATCTTTTTGATTTCTTTGTAGATAAATTTGCTGATTTCTCTGCCCTTTAGGTTGTATCTTTCACCTAATTAGTTTTAGGGGAATTTGAGTCTTGTCTTTGAAGTTTTATATTCTAGAAGATTTTAATTTTGATGAATAAAATCTTTCACTTCTTTTATAGCTTTTACTTTTTAATGTCCTGTTAAACAAGGTTCTTTCTTTTCCTAGGATTATAGCATACCCTCCTATTTTTCTTTTTTTTTCCTTCTCCCCTCCCTCTCCTATTTTTCTTTAATGTGATTGCAATTTGTTTTCTGTTTATCTTTAGCCCAATTTACTTTTGTGAATGATGTGAGGTAGAGATAATAACTTTCTGCCTGTATGTGAACCATTACTTTTTTTTATTTATACAATAGTTGGGGTATAGGCCAGAGGCACGGGAGGGTGAGAGGATTCACCAGAGACAGAGTGGGGAGCAGAACAGGCAGACAGACCGAAAGCACTGCTAAGGGGAGCAGCGGGCGCAACAGGAAAGGTCTGCTGTGCCATGTGGGAATCTCCCTGGCCGGCCAGGAATCGAACCTGCACTGCAGAGGCTGCAGACAGCTTCACAGCGCTGTGCTCAACCTGCTGCACCACTGGGGAGACCCTACTATTTTTTTTAAAGATTTATTTATTTATGCATACAAGAACTGGGGTACAGGTGAGAGGATTCACCTGAGACAGACGGAGTGGGGAACAGAGCAGTATTTCAGACTGACTGAAATACACTGCTGAGGGGAACAGTGGGCAAGACAGGAGAGGTCTGCTGTACCATGTGGGTAGCTCCCTGGCCGGCCGGGGATCAAACTCATGCTACAGAGGCTGCGGATTGCGCCATAGTGCTGTGCTGTGCTTAACCCCTTGTGCCACCAGGAAGGCCCTTACACTCATTTGGGTTTTTTTTTGTTTTTTTTTTTTTTAAAGATTTATTTATTTAGGCATACAAGAGCTGGGGTACAGGCCAGAGGTGTGGGGTGGGGTGAGACGATTCACCAGAGACAGAGTAGAGAACAGAACAGACAGATTGACTGAAGTATACTGCTGAGGGGAGCAGCGGGAGAGACAGGAGAGGTCAGCTGTAGTATGTGGATTAGCTCCCTGGCTGGGATCGAACTCATGCTGCAGTGGCTTCAGATAGCTTCATAGTGCTTAGACTTAACCCCTTGCGCCACAAGGGTGGCCCCAAGATTTCTTTTTTTTTTTTTTAAGGTGAAAAAATTTATATTCAGAATTAGCTAGATGGAGTCAGTTGAAATGATCCCAATTTTTTTCCACAACATCTAGAACATAATAGTTGGGAGCCAATCAGACATACGCCTCTTCTCTCCATCAGGTCTGACTGATCAAGTTGTTGACCTTGGCCCCTGTCAGTGTCTTTGAGCTTTATCAATGTCTGTTTGATCTGGTAATCAAGTGTGTTGTTGTAGTCTGTCTTCTTCAGGGCTGATGCAGTGGTCAGGGGACAGTTAGTGATGGCATAGTGGTCAAACTTATTTCTCCTGGGGTACTCTAATAAATATATTTGGGTTGCCTTCAGAGCTGCAGTGTGTTGGGTCACCAGAAGGTGGGCGATGAATTAATCCACTTTTTTTTTTTGTAGCTATAGATGCCTTTCAGCACTGCTTTCTTGACCTTTAAAGCTTTGGCATTTGTGTTGGCTTTGGGAGGGTCAGGGGCTTCCTTTTTTGCTTTCAGTACCATCTTTGTGTTGTGGGTTTTTTTTTTTTTTTTTTTTTTTTTTTTGGTATCAGTAGTATTGCATTGTATATACATGGCACAATTTAAATTTATCCATCAGTTATCCATATCGTAGTTATAATAAATAATGATGTAATTAACATGGAGGTGCATTTATTTTTAATGTTAGCCTTTTCATCTTCTTGAGAGAAATACCCAGAAGTCAAATTACTGGATCATATGGTAGTTCTAGTTATAATTTTTTTTAAGATTTATTTATTTATACAAGCACCGGGTACAGTCAGAAGCGTGGGAGGGTGAGAGAATTCACCAGAGCCAGAGCAGGAAACAGAACAGGCAGACTGACGAAGTACACTGCTGAGGGGAGCAGCGGGAGAGGTCTGCGCGACATGCGGGACCCTCGCCCGGCTTCCAGGGATCAAACCAGCACTGTGGAGACTGCAGGCAGCTTCACAACCCAGCGCTCAACTGCTGCGCCACCGGGGAGGCCCTATTTTTAATTTTTTAAGGAACCTGAATGTTGCTCTCTGTATTGGCTAGTCCTACTTGTTAGTTCATGTCTTTTTTGATATAGCCAATCTAACAGGTGTGCGGTGATACTTCATTGCTGTTTTGAGTTGCTTTTCCCTGATGTGTAGTGATCTTCTCATGTACCTGTCAACCAGCGGTCTGCTGGCTCTACTGCCTATCTTTTTTTTTTTTTTTTATAGAGGCATGTTTTTATTTATTTATTTATTTGTTCGTTTGTTTCGTTTATACATGCACTGGGTACAGTCAGAAGTGCGGGAGGGTGAGAGAATTCACCAGAGCCAGAGCAGGGAGCAGAGCAGGCAGAAGGACAGAAGTACACTGCTGAGGGGAGCAGCGGGCGGCAGGAGAGGTCTGCGCACCATGTGGGACCCTCCTCTGGTGGCCGGGGAGCAGCCGGGAATCGAACCGGCGCTGCAGAGGCTGCGGGCAGCTTCGCAACCCAGCGCTCAACCGCTGCGCCACCGGGGAGGCCCCTCTACTGCCTATCTTTTAATTAGACTGGAGTTTTACTGTTGAGTACCTTATATATACATTAAATATTAAACCCTTATCAGATGTATGATTTGCAAATATTTTCTTCCATTCAGTTAGTTGCCTTTACATTTTGTTCATGGTTTTCCTTGCTGTGCAGGGCTTTCTAGTTTGATATAGTCATGCTTTTGGTTTTTGCTTTGATTGCCTTCACTTTTGGTGTCAGACTCCAAAAAATTATAAATAAGACTTGTGTCAAAGAGCTTACCACCTACATTTCTTCTAAAAGTTTTACAATTTCAGGTTTAATGTTCTAATCTTTAAGTCATTTTGAGTTAATGTTTGTTTGTGTAAGATAGTTGTCCATATGCATTCTTTTACTAGTGACTGTACATTTTTCCCACCAAACATTTATTGAGGGGATTGTCCTTTTCCCATTATATATTCTTGGCACATTTGTCATAAACTAACTCATCATATATGCATGGGTGTTTCTGATTTTAAGCTTCTCAGTTTTGATATGTCTTGGTGTGGTTCTCTTTATCTTTTTCTGTGCTTGGGTTTTGTTTTGTTTTTGAGCTTCTTAGAACTTGGGGTTTATCAATTTCATCGCATTTTGAATTACTTCTTCCAAATATTTCTTTGGTAAAGGGAAAGAAACCCTTTCTGTTGTTCTTCAGGAAATGCAGTTTCATGTATATCAGACCCCTTGAAGTTGTTCCACAACTCAGACATGTGCTATTTGATTGGTTTTTTAATTTTGTTTTCAGTTTTCTGTTATTTCATTTGGGGTAGTTTCTGTTGTTGTAAATTCAGTTTTAAAGTTTTTGACCCTTGCACATACATACTGTGTGTTTAGAACAACCCTTGTTGGAGTTCTAGGTGCTGCAGAGCCATTTACACATCGCCCCTACTGTAAGGTTGGTATTTAAAGAGGCAGTTGGAATAGTATGTGTCAATACCTAAACCAGGTCAGGGCACATCGTAACTGTTCAACAGGTGTTTGATAACTGAATTTCAGTTAAAGATTCATTTTATTTATTTATGCATACAAGAGCTGGGGTACAGGCAAGAGGTGCAGGAGAGGGTTCACCAGAGACAGAGTGGGGAGCAGAACAGGTGGATTGACTGAAATACACTGCTGAGGGGAGCAGCAGGAGAGACAGGAGAGGTCTG